ATACAGTTTATCCAGAATTAGTACTATATCTTTTATAATGAAATTTTTTAGCAAATAGACTCTAAACACGAAAGGAAAAAAAAGAGAAGAAAATCTGTGGCATAAGTTTTTTAAGTTCGACTAAACAAAAATGATATCAGCATGATTTAAATATCTCAGTTAAAAAACAACAAAAAATTTTATCTATTATCTCATTTTCTGTTGAAAAAATGAAACTTTCGTCATTCATCACGCAATAACTATTTTAAAGTATTACACAACGCATTTCTTATCAGTTTCAGCTTCATCTTTTAAACCTATGAAAAAACCTGACAATCACAAACGTACTTTTCAAGTTTTATCAATCTCTAATACAAACATATCTCATTAATTTCATTAATCTTTTCTCAATATTCCACTATTTTTTTTCTTTTTCACCTTAAACTTTAATTAAATCCTATTCAACACTGTTATTTCATATTGAAATTTTAAGCGAAATTAACTGAAAATTACAAAATCAACTTTCAACGCCACTTAATATAATTAGGTATGGTCATCTGAAGAATGCGCAATAAAAATTTCAACTAATTAGCATATTTATAAATTGCATAAACTGCTTCAATTTTCAATTAGAGAGATGGCTTTTTCGTATAACTGTGAGATTTTTATCTTTTTAAATGAATTTCAAAAAAACATATCGGAACGGAAAAAAAGCTGCCTGAATTGTTTTGGAATATTTATTTACCGTATTCAGTAGCAGAAAATTTTTGTCTTTCGCTAATAAAAGTTCGCTTTTTCAGAGAAAAGTTTATTATTCGTGAAATCGTTTCTGCTCAATCGATCATTCGGTTAAACTGTTATCGAGAAAAAATGATGCCAATTATAATTCGAATTTTTTTGAAATAATTTTTTGATGGAATAAAAGTTTCATTCCACAAAAAAACACATTGGAACGGAGAAATCACTCATCATTCATTTGTATATGGTCAAATTTTACCGAAATAAAAAATAAATTTTTTTTACACCTTTGCTTCAAAATTTTAGGCGAAAGAAACCATGAGATTTTTTGTACCAAAAATATTTAAATTTCGATCATTCTTGTTTGAAAATAATAATGATAAAAGTATATTCGAAATGATATATTTTAGTGATACACATAAATATGCCTAATGGAGTTATATTAGCCGTCATTATAACGACGATATATTTGTAATGGATTTTAAAGAATAGCAAAAGTTAAGCTAATTAAACTCCAAAATCATCTAATCTCTAAAAGTCAAACTAATCCATAGAAACGGAAATAAAAATGATTGTCATAAAACAGTCATAGCAATCGTTCCTGTGCTATTAATCCTTCCTAAAATTTTAATTTTCATGGATTAGTTTGAATGAATGAACAATTATTAGTTTCTTATTATTTCAATAATTTGCTAATTTGATTGATGATTCAAAAAGAAAATAAATTGGGTTAGATAGTTTAATTTCTGTAAACATCAAATTTTGTATACTTGCAAAGAAATCAAATACTTATCCTTGAAATTCATTATTTATCATGAAATAAATAGAAAAAGCTTAAGTTTTATTAGAGGTAGTGACCTTTTATCAATTTATAACTAATAGCTGGTGGCTAAATGATGAGAAGTAATTCTTGATTATTGATTCTTTCTTATCATGATTTATTATAATGATCAATCGTAATAAAATGACAACTTATTCGGAAAATTTGGAGGAAACTAAAATACTCAAAATTAGTTATGCCATATTGCAACAAATGAAATTATCAGTTCAGATTTGGTGAATTGAAAAATGACAATACGAAATTATTTTATCGAAAAGATTCCAACGATTGCAAAATCTTTTTATGATTACTTTATTGACATTATCGAACAATTCGGAAATTCGATTGCATTGGTAAATAAAATTTGTTTTACTCTGTAAAGAGAACTTTTATAATAACATCAATTTCATCATGCTAGTAGATTAAATTCAAAATGAAATTTCATGGAATTATGATTGAATATCGTTACATTTTTTGCAAAATAAAAATTAAAATTCGCAAAAAAATTTTCACAAAAAAGAAAGCAAGGGAATGGGAAATTCATAGAAACGGAACAATTTGAAGGAAATAATAACTACAAAAAAGTTTCCAAAAAATCTTATGAAATGGAATTTTTGTCTTATTTCTTGTAAATTTTGATATAATGCAGTATACATTATATATTCTAATTTTTTTTATTTGAATTAAGAAAAAAAATCTAATATAACAAATAAATAATAAGCTAATTTTCTGTAAAATATTTCAGAATGATCCGGAAACGATGAAATTTGTTACCTATTCGGAGTTGATTAATCGATCACAGCAAATGCTCAGTGCACTAGTAAGGCTAGGTATTCACCACGGTGATAGAATTGGTACATATGTCGGCAACTCTTCTGATTATATTACTTTTATGTTAGCTGCTATTGGTCTTGGAGCTATTTTGGTACCATTAAATCCGGCATATAAAACTTGTAAGTGAATTAAAATGTTGTTTTAAAATTAAAAAAAAAGATTAACATTCTAATAAATTGAGCTATAAGTATAAAATATTGCTTATATTATTACTATTTATTATCTTTTTATACTTATCTGTCAAAACTTATTTCACTCCTTTGCATGACTGTATGAATAACAAGTGAGGGACGATAGATAATAAAATATGAAAAGATATATCTATCCGGAAAAGAAATTATTATCTCGACTTCCCGGTTAATGATGTTTAATTGATAGACTAATTTCAATGAACATAGTAATTTTTTGGAAATTTGAATTACATGAAATAGATAAATAATTGCCATAGTAAATTGAAGTTAAAAAAATTGTTTTTGCAATCATTTTTATTTAAAATGTTTAATTTTAGATGAAATTGAAAAGTATTTCGAGAAAGCTTCAGTAAAATGGATATTAATAGAAGAGAAATTATTTGAAAAAATTCGACATTTAAAAATGAAGAATAAGCAAGTAATTGAATGATAGTTCACTTTTCCTCGCATTATTTTGGATGTTTAATTATTTAATTAATTAAATTATATAATGAAGATGAAATGAAAGATTAGTGTAATTTATTTGTGTTTTTCCGTAAAGCTAATGCATGACACGTACGATTGGGACATTCGTGTCCACTATAAGATATACAATCGAATCATTATTGATTTGATTGTAATATAAGTATAATCATTTTAATAACATTTCTTATGTTTTTCTTATATTTTATGTAAGTTTATTTATAATCTGTTTTAGGCTAAGATTATAATGCTTGATTCGATCAACGAAACTTCGCTCTGTTACACTTTGCAATCTTATTTAAGTGATAATTCATTGTGGGATAATGAAATTACATACCAATTTCAGAATAAATTTAATTGCGAGTATAATACAGTAAATTTTTCTCTTGACATTTTAAAATATGCAAAAATTTTGACAGAAAAAAATGAGAATTTTCGTTATTTAAAAATTTAGTCGGAAAAAAGTTTGAAAAATTTGAACAATCTTTACAAAACAAAATAATCGTAAATAATAAAATACATTTTACAGGCAATAATTTTCTTTTCTTCTGGAACAACCGGATTACCAAAAGGAATTCTTTTAAGCCACGAAACGCTTATTGCTAATGTCGAATTAATCCGGTTTGCTTATATTATTTTATCATTGAACAATTTTGCAAACATTTTCCTCAATTTATTCATATATAAAATACATGCACATACACATACACATACACACAGATATTTGTCTGTTTCCCAATTTTCAACTAAATTAATTCTTATCAAAATTGGAAAAGTCAAATTTATATTTTGGAAGCTAAGAAGATGATTAGAACTGATTGAAGAAGTGTTAATTACCTTATTGATTGTATTATCACCGCCTAAATTTCATATTTTTACAGTTTCTTCGAGATATCTGAGAATTCAAACGCATTTAAATTACCGTAATCTAAATTTTAGCTAAGGACAAAAAAAGGCAAAAAAAGGCAAAAAGAGCAAAAATTCCGTAAATTGTTCATTCTAATGATTGTGTAATTACAGCAAAACTCAGGGAATCAAATGTGGAAAATATGAAATGATTAGTTTGAGTGGAATGGATGTGGTATACGGTGTGCTACCGTATTTTCATGCTGGTGGTCTGCTTACTGTATTCGGTCTTTTAGGATTAGGTGCTCAAATAATTATAAATCGAAAATTTGATGGTGAACAATTTCTAGGAACGCTAAGCAATTATCAGGTGGCATTTCGTTTTTTCTTTCTCTTTCTATTTCTTGCCACAAAAAAGAATATATGATTCGAAGTTAGAAATTTGTCGAAATTTTGTTCATTTTAATCTTTTCATGTTTATTATTAAAAAATTATAATCAAATTTAATTTCCACATTTGCCGAACTATTAGTAAACTACAAAATTTGATGTATAAAATTTAGGTGACAACAGCTTTGTTGGTACCACCTGTGCTGAAGTTTCTTGCAGTTACTCCTAATCTAAATCCCGAAGCATTTCATTCTCTAAAACAGATCTTCGTCGGAGCAGCTCACGTTAATGAGTCACTTATCGAAATGGTGAAACATCGTTTGCCCAGAACAAATATTATTCAGTGTGAGCTATTTTTTTTTTAAATTTTCAAGTATGAAATGAATTTCTAAATTTATTTACAGAAACTAAAATGCTAACAAACGAATAAATCAAAGAAGATTAACTTTTATAATTTTCAATTAAAATTTGTCAAAATAACTAATATTAGTAGAAAAATCTAATGTTTGCTTTTTTTCTTGTCTTAAGCGATTCACATACTTTAGTATATGGTACAACAGAAGCTGGCGCTTTTGTTTTCATGCAGCCATTATATCCGACAGGAAAAAATGGAAGTTGCGGAATTTTATTGCCAAGTGTTGAATGCAAAGTAAAATTTTAATTATGTCCTTAATAATTTATTGATTCAAGGACTAAGTGACTTAATGATTTAGTGATCTGATATAATTTTTCTTGCTTTTGTGTCATCAATAGCACATTAAAAAAATACCGCATTAAATTATCAAACTAATAGAAAGTGGATTTCTACATATTTCAATTTTAGTTCCAATTATTCTTACTTATATGAAAATTTTGATCAATTAATGAAATAAATGTATATTTAGGATTTGTATTGAGAGATTCACAGAAATTGTAAATGAACAGTATGGTAGAATGATAGCTTGAACTCCAAGGGACCATTTAAAGTTTATTTCTATCCTATTAGCCATTCTTCAATCTTTCTGTTACATGACACTTTTTTCTTTTTCCAGTTAATTGGTTAGTACAGTTATTATTAATTAATTACTTGATTTTAATTTATCAATAAAATGCTCCATATTTGGATAAAATTTAAGAAAAATACAGATTATGAAGTTATCGAGTAATGAAGAATGTGAAGAAATGGAAACTGGTGAAGTATGGCTAAAGACAGCAACAATGATGCAAGGATATCTCGAGAAGACTACCGATATTGAGTAGGTGCAGAAATTCCCGATGCTCGATTTTTCCTTCTGAGAAATAAATTTCATTTTGTAATTACCTTTGATCATATTTTTAGCGATGCTTTTGTTGATGGATGGTTTCGAACTGGTGATTTGGGATATTATGATTTCGATCAATTCATTTACATAACTGGTCGTATTAAAGAGATGATCAAAGTTCGCGGTTGGCAGGTGATAATTGATTGTCAATATGAATTTTAAATTAGATGATCAAAGTTCGCAATTGGCAACTAATAATTGATTGTCAAATTTTAGTTGTTTTGATGCAAAATCCAAATCTTATATTCCATTAAATAAAAATTTTAAATTGGTAGAAAGTTATGAAAAAAAAAATGAAAAAGAACAGTAAATTAGAAAACAAATATAATGATCCATATTTAATTAAAAGAAATGAAAGCAAATGTCTTAAAGTTTTATCACCAATCAATAACTTATAATTATACATTACATTTAGGTATCACCCTATGAAATTGAAGAAACAATCCAAGAATTAAATGATGTTGAATTATGCGTCGTGATTGGTATTCCCGATGAATACAGTGGAGAGCTACCAAAAGCTTACATTAAACTTCGTGATGGTTGTCAAATGGACGAAAATACAATTCATCAACTTGTGAATGGTATGTCAGTGGCATACATTAATCTCCATTCTTATTCATCTTTCTTCATTTTTAAAAAAATTTTCAGAAATATGGGCCACAAATAATAGTGAAAGGGGGAGGGAGAGAGAGAGAGAGAGAGAGGGAAAACAATAATCATTTGACAATGTTATCAATTGTCACATTAATTAATTGATAACAAATGTAAATGTAACATATAGTCATATTAAAAGAATATACGGTAAAAGGATAATGAAACCTTGAAAATAATACTATAATATTTTCTGGTTTATTAATAATAAATGTTATCGGGTTGTAAAATGTTTTAGCAAAAGAATTAAAAACATCAAAATGAACGATATATTTTTCATGATAATAAATTTAATGCAAACAAAAGTACAATCAATCGATCTATTTTATCTTACTTTTTTAGTTTATCTGTATTAGAGATATTAATGAAGATATTAAAAAAAATTTTTTTAATGAAATTAAATGCAAAATTTTATGAATAAATAATGAATAATACGGTACTTTTATTATTTCAGCTAAATTTGCGAGTTATAAGCAACTAAAGGGTGGTATTCAATTTGTTAGCAATATGCCAATTAATAGCGCTGGAAAGATATCACGGAGAGAATTGCTTAAAATAAATGAAACAGAAGATAAAACAGTTTAATCAAAATATGATCAATGATACTACGTATATTTTTCTACGTCTTTTTTTTTCAAAATATAAAAATTTTTGAAAATTTAACAACCGCAATGCATCATAAGATTTACAATTGTTATTCTAATTTACGAGATTTATTGGATTTGTTAAATTGAACAATAAATTTTAAATTCCATATGAAAAATCTTTTCGAAGCTTTGCAAGCTCATATCGATAATCTGTGAATCCGTGATATCACATAAAATGCTAAATGTTAAATCCAATGGAACCATGTCAAACGCATGAAATGAAGTGTTCCTTTGATAGCTTAATTATCAATACTATCGGGTTCCTTTGATGACTCATAATTCGTCTTACTTAGCATCTGTTAGTCTCACCGAATAAAAAAATAATGGATGAGAATCCAAAGATTTGGATGATTGACAACTATTTTCGTACTCATTATTTTCAGCTTATCCTACACCACCAAAACTAAAACTAATAAAAGTGGTTTGGAAGGGAAACATTTAAATCAAATCATCTAAAACTTTAAATATTTCAATAAATACCATAATTTCTTTTATATTTATGTTAGTTTTTGCCCAAAATGCATAATAAATATCATTAGTTTAATGGTAAAAACATGTTAATGAAGAAAAAATCTCATCTTTTGTAAAGCAATTAATCATCAGTGACAAGAAATAACAAACCAGAAACAACGAAAAATTCGTTTAAATATTTTCCCTCATTTAAATATTTTTCCAGAAAGCGTATTTGAAGAAAAGTGATCATTTCCCTCCTATTTTAAAAATAGAATTGCTTGATTCTAATTTTGTTTGGACCCATCTTTATAATTTTGACACTATCCGCACAATAAACAAAAATGGTTCCAAATCAGATTGGTGCTAATAGCAAGTCTGCTTGTAAAATAAATGGAAATCACATCAGTATTACAATATCAATTTGTGGGCAAATTTTTTCAGATGAAAAGCAAATCATTTTGTTTCTTATCAATTAAGTAAATTTATACACATTTCAACAGTTCCGGTGATTTCTTCTTTGTAGAAAGGTTCATTAAAAGAAAACACAAATATCATGTTAATATATTCACAATACTATTTCCTGCTTTGGTAGGCATTTCATTTTCACGGATTTTCCATTTATACAGAGCGCTCTCAACCTGAAAAAGAGAAATTGGAAAACATGCGATATACTCAAATATCAAAACTACCAATGATTTAATAAGATTCCTAAATCTTTTTTTAATAATATATACTAAAAAGCTGGACTTCATTTCAACACAACTACTAATAACTGTACAGAGATTGTAGAAAGGAAAGATGTTCCGGGAAGTTACAAGTGATCAAAATTCACAATAATAAGTAGGTATTAGCAACTGACTTTTAGTAACATAGAGAGAACTAACCTTCATCAAACATTCCCGGAAAACTTGGGATTTCTTTGTCCAGTCTGCACTGTGCATTATATTGCCAAGAAATTCGTAGCACCCATGCAATGACCGCATGTAATTAACAATACTTACAGCTGTATTAGAATTGCCAGATGAAATCTATAAATTCAAAAATAAAAATTCATTTAAAAATTCATTTTTGGTTTTATTTTTGGTCTTTATTTTCGGTTTTATTTTTGGTCTTAGAAAGTGGCAAGATAAATGAAAAATAAAATTTTTCTGAAAGTTTTAAAATCGACAAACCTCACTAATGGCAAGTCTCATCAGTTCGCCACCCACATCGAAAAGTCCCATTAAATATGTTACCTCAGGTAGTTCTACATAAAGCCTTAAAACTTCAGCTATCATACAATTAACAAATTTTCTCATTTTAGTAACTAAATAAATCAAACTGGAAAAAGCAAAAGTATTTGAAATGGTATTTTTGAAAGATTTCGAAAAAATCTTTATATAAAATCAAGTATTGCCTCTTAAGAATGAAAAAAACAGAATACGTCGCAGTCTTAGATCGATATTTTGATTGACTACTTCGAAATAAAACGATCAGAGCAATTAATGATTTATGTGAAACATTTCATAAAATGGAACATGCAGTTTAGTGTTCAGTCTTACACACCTTGTAAGGAACTGCTCTAAGCCATATTTAATATGGCTTTAATTTTTGAACTTTGTATATTGTTAATCAGGAGAGACCAAAAATTTATAAGTTGAATTAGAAGTTCAAGAAAAGAGCAGAAAAATTAACTTTGTGTTTCCTTCAGATTCTGCATCAACAAATTGCAATATGTCGATTACCTCACTGCATAAAAGCACTTTACCAGATGTTAGAAACTTGTGGAATGCTAAAGCTTCAATATATTCTGGAAACAAAAATAACAGACTATTCAGTAAGGATAAAAAAGATTTAAGATTGAATAATCTTTTCTACTTTTTAAAGTAATTGGTTTTACTTCACTTGCAATATCATCTGTTGTATACCACCGTCATTCTTAAAATTCTAGAATGTTGGAAAAAGCAGCACAAGATATTAAATGGAAAATCAGATTTAGCTTATTGTTCTAACCTTCCAACATTCTCTATTAATTAATCATCAGCATCGGTCAACAGACTCACAAGAGGAAATCAAAATCAAAGAGAAGGTGTCAGAGAGATCGCAAATAAGAATTACCTTCAAGAGCCCAGTCATAAGACTTTATGTAGTAATACTGATCTAGATTACAAAGTTCTTTCGCCATTTGTTGAAGCATTTTGTTACGCACTTCATTCAACCGCTTATTTGCCTCCTTCAGTATTTCTTCTAAAGATAGATGGCGAGTTAAGATTACAATAAATTAATGAATTTTTCATTTATCAAAAATTACCAAATACAACATAATGAGTGTTATGAATAAAGTTAATCTGCTCTAGTTTGGCAGTTGAATTATTGAGATTCTTCGAAAAAGCCCATAGCGTCTTATGCCTACATATAGTTCAGCTATCAATAAAAATAAATGCTGACCTATTTGAATCAATTTGGGAGAAAGCGGTCTAAAACATAAGATCGAGTCACAGAAAATAAAGTATACATTGCATAAACTGCTTTAATCTTCAAACAGACCTATTCTATGTTGTCATCTTATTATTACATAGTGAAAGAAAAATTTAGTTCTCGACCTCATACTTATCATGGAAAACACGACTTTAACAAAAGCTTAAACTGAGAAATTAAGCCTACTAAGTTAGCTTCATTTGTTTTAATTTCAAACAACAAATTGTACCAAAAATTACGCCAAATCCATTTTATTTCATTTTTTAACTTTTCAATAACCACAAACTATAAATCTATGATGTTAACAATTTTTAACTTTTCAAAAAAATTGAAACCTATATTTACCTCTTTTCTCCGATGTATCAACAACGACTATACGATGTAACTGGAAAATGATTCGTTTACATTCAATAATTACATCACGCGACAGTTTCACGATCCTCTCATACCGATCACGTCTTTCATCCATTTCTAAAAAAATTTCAGAAACCTAAGGAATAAAAAAATTCAGGAGCAGGTATATTTTGAAAACTAACCCAAACACAAAAATCTTTTTTCTTGAATGCATTTCATGTTAATAACTTTTTGCGGAACGAAATCGCTTGAAAGAAATGAACTTTTCACAACAGGCTTTTAATTTTTAATTCTGATAGAGTGCTCGACTTTTTTATATCCCCATTGCAATCTTATTCAATTTAATAATAAACAATTATTTCTGAATACCTCTCACTGAGAATTGACTTTCATCGGAGGGAAGAAAAAAAATTGTCCCCAATACCAGAAACAAAATATCAAGAAAAGTCATCCACCTTTTTGATAACTGATGAAATCCTTTTTTTCTTCTTCAGTAATAGATCGTTGATATCTTGATGAGCTAGCAAACTCGTCATCGCCGGTACTATTATCATGACTTCGCTTGTTACGACCACGACCTCGGCCATGTGATTTCCACGTACTGGCCTGCACATCGGACATCGTTGTAAGTTTTATGGCTTCAAAAAAAAGCGCCGTAGGGTTATATGTACATTGTACGGTGTATCACTTTCTCATAAATTCACCCACACTCTCAACTTAAAATCCGATTCTTATATCAACGAATCTCGTAATCAGTTACACTAAATAAATTTCGTTTATCATGTTATTATAACATTGATGTTTCAGCAAAGTTCAGCTTATAACAAAATATCAATCGTGTTCTTGGTATATAAACGTATATTCATCTAGTGTAAATTCAAAAATCGGAGTCAAAAAATTTATTATATAAAATAATGAGTGTGATGAATGTTCTTCCGAAAACCAAATTATCAAAATTGAATAACAAATAAAACTATTAACAAGTTTTAACAAATAGTTCAAAATCAAATTCATTACAGTTTTGCAGCTTTAGCAAAAATGAAACAAGTATTGGGTTTCAACTTTATTTTTAGAGACATGGATTATAGAAAGTTGCCCTAACAACAAACTATCCTAGTTTCCTGCTTTCATTCTTTCGAAAAAATTCGCTACCTCTGTTTCTTCTATCTACCAATGAGCTTTTTTTGATTCCTAATCATACTTTTCAATTCAAACAAATAACTGATTTTCAATTCGTTAATTCCTATTAAAGCTGTAAAACTTTTCAAACTTAAATTAATGAATGAGAATGACAAGGCTGTAGTAATTCAAAAGAAAAATGATCCCTGAATTTCAAGTCGTGTCACGTTTCTCGATTCTTCTTAACTGCTTCTTTTTCGTTTTCTTTAGCTTTTGTGTGTTCTTAATAACCTGGACAATTTCTGCCTTTCTCTCATTTTCCTTTCGTCTCCTTTCATGTTCCTTCCGAGCTTCTATTTTAGCCTGAATCAGAAATAACTGGTGGAATATTTTGAAAAAACACAACGACAAAAGTATATTCTTAGATGCACATCACAAAATGCACAAATTATCGTTTTAATATACCTTCACGAAAGCAAAAATAAAAAGTTATCATCAATAGCTGACAATAAAATAAAAATTTGTAGAAATTTAATTGCATATTCACTTACCGCTTTTTTGGCAGCTAGCTTATTACGTACTTCTTGCTGTATTTTTTTAACATTTTCCAGTTCTGCTTTTGCACGCATCTTACGTTCCCATGAAGATTTCAGCGGCTTCACTTTTATAACGGCGGAGGATCTGAGTTAATATGTTCAAGCTCAAAATCCATGTAGAAGAAATTTATTTTTACAAACTTTGATATAATGAATACCTGATTTTGAAATTAAGAGTGTGTAAAAGATCTAACATATTTCCACTCGATTCCATCTATAAGTTAAGAAAATATCAAAAGATCTTTTCAAAAATCTTTCAAGATTTCTTAGAAATATGTAGAAACTGTCTCTTACTCGAAAGAAAGTGAATCGTACCTTTCTTTCCGAATTGATTTCCACCACCGACCTGATTTGGGTTTACGCAACACAGCCTTACCACATCCATTCTCAGTAGCAGTGACACCATCAGAGGAATCATTTATTTCCATTATGGCATCAGTTGCATGTTCACTCGTTGATGTACTCACGTAACAGATTTCTACATCATCAATTTCTTGTGTCATACTCAATTCTGAAAGTGATAATAATCATTATTAGGTAGGAAATAATCATTAGACGAAACACAACAAATGGGAAAAGTTCACGTTATTGCAAAAGATTTCCAAAAGAGTACAGAAGATGTCGTAACTCATACCGACTATCGAACCTTAATTCCACTTCAGTTATCTATCTGGTACTTCGATATTCAATTAAAATACTACCTTTACCCAAATTCACTGAGTTGTAACGCTTTGAATTATTTTGATGAAAAAAATCACGAACAAATAGTTGCATCTAACAGGCTGCGTTAAAACATACTTCTGATTCGAGGAAGAGAAAAATTGTAAAAATGAAAAAATTACGTGCTGAAAGGGGAGACAACGAGGATAGCTAGCATTTGTAAGATAGAATGTAACGAGAGATTGAGAAGTTTCGCGAAATTCTGCATTTCCTGGTATTGCCAGTTACTGAAGAATGTAGAAAATAGTATACGGTGTCAGTTATTGAAAGAGGTAGGAAATAGCATACAGTGCTAGATGTGGATGAGTGACAGAAATTTGAGGCATCGTTTTTAGAATCGCCCTGTTGTATTTGTTAAAAAAAATTAGTGTTTTTAGAATTGTCCTGTTGTGTTTGCTAAGAATATGCTTGTCAGACGAGGAACTTACTTGAGTTGGAAAAGATTCTTGCAATAATTGTTCGTGCAAATTTTTGCGCATCAGTTAACCATCCAGTATATTATTTGCAGCGACAATGAGTTTGCATGTACTTCGCAGATGTATGTCATTGAGTGCTGCTGTCCAAGCAACGGAACATGTTATAAGGTCACCTATTCAGGTAGAAATTTTTACTTTTCAAGTTTGAATTAAGTAGAAATTATGTTGAAATGGTGTTTCCTAACTCCCATCTCATATTTATTGATGTTTTTTAAATAAAATTAATGTTTGTTGAAAAGGCTGTGGATCTTGTCACGCTTTGATGATCGATATATTTGTTAACAATGTGTTTTGAGCTTATTAGCATATATTATGGTTGAATATGACTTTTCTTTTACTTAAAGAGTAGATCTTTTAGATTAAAAAAATATGGTAGGCTGATGTCAGCCAACCACAAAACATGTTCTAACCTTATTTCACTTTGTTTATTATACTTTAAATTAAATAGTTGTAGAAAACTTCAAACATGTTTCAAATTTAATATAGCTCATTTCAGATTGCCATCTCAACGCGCTATAGGCTTATTTCAGGCCATTTCGCGTAGCTAAAATTACTATTAATTATGTTACTGATTCTGAAGTGTGACGTTATCCCTATTGAAGGTTTTTTCTTAGTGTTTATCCATGCTTGATTGCTCCATAAAAATGAAGTAATTTGCAGTTGCATGGAGTGGAAGGACGATATGCAGTGGCGCTATATTCAGCAGCAGTGAAAGACAGTAAGCTTGATACCATCTATAAGGATCTCAAGTCGTTACAAAACATTTATCAGACTAGTGTTAAATTTGAGGTATGTTAGAAAAAATGGTTTTCATTCAATTCTAATATGTGAGAAATTCAAAAGTAATCTGGATAGAAGTTTGACATGATAGGTAACAATGATTTTATTGGTATAACTTCACATAATATATCAGTGATGTCATTAAAAAAATCAAATTATTAAAAAAAAATTTTGTGCTCCATGTTGCACGCAAATTTGTGCTCCGTGTTGCACGCATTACATGATTTTTTCTTTTTTCAAAAAACATATTTTTATATCGAAATTATTTTAAGAACTTTATACTGGATCCTACATTAGCACCATTATCTAAAGTAAACACCATGAAGGATGTCGCCAAAAACCTAAATGTAAGCAAGGAAACGCTCAATTTTTTGGGTTAGTACATTTAGCTTATTTTAATTGACGTATTGCACAGATTATATTGTGTTCTTTCATGTTTTGAAAATATTAGCTTGAACAGCGATTAAGAAATGATTTAAATATATCGAATAAATTACAGTTGAATCGTTAATCATCTGATAGTTATAAATACGAGCATGTATACATTTATATGCATTGGAAAATCATGACATAATTTCTAATGAAATTGCCGGAAATTTTGTTTAGAGATAGAGCTTTGTTAATTTAATTATCTGATAAATTAAGGAAAATAAGCATTTTTGATACCGTAGCTAGTTTTATTTTACTTCTTAGTTACTTCTTGCGTCATCTTACGTTCTCTTTCGGCCTTTTGCGCATGTTCATAAACGCTTCCGTAATGCATTTGATACCACTGAAAAGACTTTCTGGAGATTTTGCAGTAAATGCCATATAAAGCAAAAAAATTTTTTAAGGAAGAGATTTCCAGAAAACAAAAATTTGGGTTTTTTCACTTTGTTTATAATAAGTTGGAGATTTTAATTCAAAAATGGTTTTGTCTAATACAGGAAGGACTTTTAATACTTAATGATTAGTAACTAATTTGTTAAAATCTCAGACATTTCAGTGAAGTTTTTTTTCGGCTTGGTTCTAATTAATTACCAACTTTTTGCATTTGCTCGTCTTTTTCATTCCGAAACAGTTCTGTCAGCGCTGATTCTCTCTCTTCTGAAGCAGTTTTTTTGTCTGTATGTCCCAACAATTAATTCTTACTTATGCGTGGGTCTATTTATGGAAATGAACTGCTTTACTATGAGACTACAATCTATCACCGAAACAGCACACCTGAATTGATAACATGACATAATGTGAAATGAAATAATGCGGATTGTTAATGGATGATTATCCGTCAAGTAAGAAGGTAATTATTGCAACTGACGAGAAAGCTCTACCTGTTATGTTACCGGGGGTTAAATCATCAGAAACAGGTGGTAGATTGAAGTCAAATTGTTTTGATGTCTCGAGGATGTTCTTCTCGTCGAAATAGATTCGCTTAAAGATATCTTTGGATAATGATTACCTATTTTCACCTTACCTTGCTTAAGTGACATAGCTGCGAATTATGGCATTCCGGAAGGAAGGAGTAATCATTTGCCATTTCTTAAATTTTTTAAGTCAAATCTTTTCTTTAATCTGACTATTTTTTAGAACTTCCTTTCTCGGGAAGACAGAATTTGTTTTAAGCTATTTGAAAGCCGAAGTTTAAATCATACAACAAGTAGTTTACTTCTTTACGAGTCAGTTTCATGCCGTGCAAATTGAACCATTCATAAACCAAAGAGCCTTGCACGCAAGCTATGAGACCTGAAATTTATTGAAAAGAATCACATCTTTAAATTTATGCTACTGTCGGTAGGTTAATGAAAGTTGATGAAAATATCGGAATTGAAATATGAAACTATGAACCTGAAAGCAGAGCTGGCCATTTGTGACTTATGAGATACATATTGAAACTGCTCATTAATCCAAACGTAGCGACAGCAACTAAGCTTGGATTATAATTACTGGTACGAAATGATGTTTCTAACTGCTTTGATTCTAATGATGAGGCTAAAGTTATAAAACATTTCGCTGTTTTTTTACATTTCACTTTTAGTGCTTGAGTTATTGTATTTCCCCTATCCTACATTGTTTATAAATAAAACAATTTGTAAAAGTAATCTTACAAAATGGGAGGCAATGATCCAAAATTAAAAGTATTAAACAAAACAAATCAGTAATAGTTTGAGCTCTACGAGGAAGAAAATTACAGGAAAGAGAGTCTAATGTAAGTTATAAAAACATACAAAGGCCTACTTTCTGTCATTGCTTTTAGAAGTGCTTTCAAATCATCTTCTGGTGAAGTAGGTGACGTCATCTGAAAGTAACTTTCTCAAAATTTCTTATTCCATAAATTTCGAAATTACTAGAAAGTTGAGAAATATTTTGTCCTCAACAAAGTTTGAATGAGAAATGTGGAAATTTATTTAATGGTAACCACGGTGTGTATCTATCTGGAAATATGCGGAAACTAACTAAAGAACTAACTGAATATGGACTGGTGAGGAACTGACCGCTAACTTTGTGGAAGAAATGAATTATTTTCGAAATCAGTAAGCTTTTAAAGGGTGCTATTTATAATTGCTGTCTCACATTACTACAGTTTGCAACTTTGTTGCAACAAATTCCTGTACTATTTCACTAAGATTTTTAATGTCTTAAAATTTGACAAAACTTTTTGAGAAGTATTCATACAATTCCTCATTCTAATACCGTTTCTGCAAATTTTTTGCATAATTTATTTGTCTTTCTGATTTGTGCATGAGCGTATTGGTAATATTGAATTCGTAAATTATCGCTAATTTAACGGAGAGACGGTGAAAGAGAAAAGTTTTATCCTTTAACATTCAAATTCTTTGGCAAAATAGAATCTTCATGGCGTATGTTTCATTTGGAAAAATGAAGGAGTTTTGTTACATTTGTTACTGTTTTTGAAACAGCGATAGCAAATGTCTCAATTTTCGTTTTTTTTCTTTTTTAGTCCAATATTTCATGTATCATCCTAAACCTTTTTTTTGCTTTTGAATTGAGTTGTTTTCAGTATTACTGGCAGAAAATAGGCGACTAAATCTCCTTAAAGAGATTGTGGAATTGTTCGATTCGATTATGCGAGCGCACCGCGGCGAATTGGTTGTCGAAGTAATTACTGCTGAGGTAAGACTGTTTGTGGTGCTTTCGTTTTCTTGTCAACAGTTGAAGCTGGATTAGCTTTTTGGATTAGTTTGTATACTGAGAGGTGATTTTTTTCGGATACGTAAGCATCTAGCAATTTTCTAGATTAAAATTAAACTTCAAAAATTTCATCAGATAAAAATGTAAGGGATTCATTTAATTTCCAGCAGCTCAGCAAGAAACATGAAGCGGCACTGAAGGAAGCGTTGAACAAATTTGCAAAGCCTGGACAGAATTTGCAAATTAAAATGAGCGTGAAACCGAGTATTCTTGGTGGCATGATGGTGAGTATCGGTGACAAGTTCATCGACTTGAGTATAAGCTCACAGTTCAAGAAATTCGAGGATATTTTGTGGAACGCTGCTTGAATCCAAATATTTAGAAGTTCTAGTCATCTTTGTATGCGTAGCCATTATTCTTGTGATCCATGTTTACGTCTTTTGAATAAAATATATTATTATTGTTCGCCATTGCAGCAATATTTTCTCTGTTGTAGAGCATGCATACTAATTAATATTATTAGGTAATTTTTTTACTGCTATGCGAAGAAAGGTATTTTTTACTGCTTTTTTGTCTTTGGTCTAATTTCACCACGTTAATTTTCCACTTCATAAAATCTACGAGACTCTGATTTTTTTGGAGGTTATGATGAAAGCAAGTAAACATAATCGATTGCTGCTGAAGCTTCTACGCATCTCTTGCAATATGGAAATTGTTAGAATTTAAAAAAGGTGGAAACGAAATTTCGACGAAGCAGTAGGCATATTCTAAAATAGCACCTATGTTGAGTTTATATAGTTATGTAGAACCATGAAGCCATGGATTTTTTAATTTCACCAAGCAGCTGAATGGATATTGGTTGCCAAAACATCTGGTGATTTGGATTCTGGAGAATTTGGATTGTCTGAAAATTTCTGCTATTATCGAATTTATCAATTTTGTTACGTTGCATTTTTTGTTTAGCAAAAAAAAAATTTTGTCACGTTGTGTTTTTTATTTAGTACTCAAAATATCTTTGGAATTAAGGAAAAGGCGAATAGTACTTTTTTGAGAACATATGTTAAGGCTTTGCATTATTACCTTCACATTTGTATATGATAATTAATGAGCAATTGCACTTCCATGCTAATTTGACTTGAAATTAGCATGGTTTGACAGAATTTTACGATATATTCCCTAGAGATTTTGAAGATCTATTTTTAATTAATGTATCGCAATATTCTTTGATCAATTCCTAGATTAGGATTTTCTTCCAAGTCCTTACTTGCATCATGTTAAACTTGTTAATGTTGCTGTTTTAATGTTAGTATGTTATTTTGTTTAATATTTTGTTTGATTATGTTGTCTGATCTCTATTGAACAGGTAAAATTTTATCAAATTATAGTAATTGTCAATGTCAGACAATTCTACACGAAATACCACAAGGTTATTTTATTTAAGCAACAGCTTTTAGATAGAGGAGTATGATTCGGAAATTTGAAAAAAAAAAAATCAACTTGTAATAGTGACCAATATGCTGGAAATTAGAATCAGTAAACCGATTAAAACGCATTCATGTGTTATAATTTGAGATGGTGAAATTTTATATGCCACTTTACCCCATTCATTTCCCAAATTTTCAACAATTAAATCTATTAAAATGCTTCCGGAAATGTTAAAAATGCTAATTTCTTTCTTACTGCCGTTCAAAGTTCGTTCAATTACTGAGGTACTAATGCGTGAAAATGAAACTCATACAAAAGAAGCATAGGGAAATTACTTTCCATTATTTACATTCTTACAAATTGGAATTATATGAAATGAATTATACTATTACTTAGAATAAATACTCAACAAGAAGGAAATAAGTAAGTTATGAAATTAGTGGTGAGCTTGTACTTTTTTATTCTAAAGTTTTTCTTTTTTGGAAGCGACAATTTCAGATTTTCATCACTAAACTGAAAATAACCCAAACGACTTGAAGCATTCATTCCAATTTAAAAAATAAAATATTATTTACAACGCTTCAATATTTACCCATCATCTTTTTCTTATGTTGGCAAATCTAAAATTTTCAATTCTTATCAATCTTAATAAGCACTATATTGTTCGCTATAATGAACAAATTAAGTTAGCTTTCATCTGAAATATTTTCATTTTGAATAACGAATGTTGTGTAATTAGCGCTTAAATTATTTGGGAATTAAATGTATAATGGAAATGAAAGCAATTTTCACAGGCGAACACATTCGTACATCGTCGACCTCTTGATCATATGCTAGAAAATTCCCATAATTATAAGTCATCCTAATTAATTCCTTTGAGTGTTGTTGAGAACACACATGGCAATCATAAATCAATTTTAATTCCTGTTTGGTTTAACGAAATAAGATTAAATCGACTTAAACCTAAGTTTAATATTATCCTCTTATCTGTTATTTTGTAATTTTTATTATTTGAAAAATTTTGTTTGTTGTTTGATTTGGTTGAAAAAGAATATTTTTAAAAAAATAAATGCATTTATCATTATTATTTTTTTTTGCCATATAAATTTAACGTAATTCTCAACAATTTTAGATTCAAATTTTAGTAAAATTACAAAATTATCATATATAAAATCTGAATCAATACATTAAAAAACATGAAATTTATATACAACTCAACAATAATAGTTATAATGCATTTTTTTTCCGTTGGAAATATTAAAAATTCTTAAGAATTACGCAAACCTCTTCCTTTTTTTCAGAATTTGTTCCTAATTCAAATTTTGTAAAAATCACTTTAATTACTCGAAATATATATATAAGGTAATTAGAAAAGTATTGAGTTAATTAAAAGAAATATATTAACTTATAGAAATATATTAACTTATACATTAAATATATATATACATACATACAAATGGTAAGAAAGTATGGAGGGAAATAAGAAAATAATTAATATCAATGTGGCACAATTTATCTACAACAATAGGAACTGATCGAATTATTTTCCTAAACCAAAGCAGCATTTAATAAAAAGCCTAATTTGATTTCAATCTCTGAATATGAACATTCTGATCTTCAGAAAGCAAAAATAATATTTTTCTGAAAATTAATTTTGCTGGTAATTTCCCTCTTTTTTCCTGGAATTCGAGAAGCATAAACAATTTGTTAAACCAACGTCGACAAGTTACCATTTATATAGCTCTCCTCAACTTCTTTATCATCACTGGCACACCAAACATAAATGCAGTGTATAAGGCCTGCGGTACAGAGCGCAGTTGACGCAATACCAAATGCTGCACCAACACCTCGTGATATTATACCAACTCGCCCCGATACCAACATCCACTGTAACATACTACCTGAAAATAAAACAAAAACGATACAACTAATTTATTTTCATCATTTTCAATGACAATTATTATTAATTTGTAATTTATGCATCAAAAAAAAAAATCAATCAACCAATCAATACTATCTATGTTCGAACATTAGACATCTTTCTGATGACTATAAAAAAGTTATAACAATATGCTTTATTTATATCATTCACTTGTCATAGTTTCTTTCCAAGTTTTTTTATTTATCTAAATTTTATTAACAATTATTTACCTATGATGAAGAAAAGCACGGCAAAAAACCACGCTGCATAAACAATACAACGTAGAAAACGTCCACCACTTAAAAATGATAGTACCCTGAAAAATGGATGAAAAAAGCTTATAAATTGGATTGAAAATCTTAAGAAAAAAAAGTTTTAAGTCTAAACGGAAATTAATGGTGAAAAATGAAATAGGAAAATCATAAACAAATAGAATTAATTATTTTAATTAAATTAATGAAATTAAAGGGGTTAATAATAATGATTAAATTATTAAAGCATCTTTAGCTTTCCCTAAATTCTCTGATTTACATATCGATTATAATCCAAACTATTGCAATTGTTCCGCGAAGGAAAAGATCAGATAAGGAACAAATAAGATCTTCTAAGCTTCTCAAATTTCACTCTCAATAATGGATTATTTCAAATTGTAAAGTGTATTTAGCAAAATTTTTAAATTACTCTTTCCTATCATTGCCTTACTAATAATTCAATTTTATTCGAAATTATCAAATTGTAATTATTTGCTAAGAAAATTTATAGTCTCTATTATTAAACTATTGACCGAAAAATTGAGAGAAATGAAGTGGAAAATTCTGCAATATTCGTCATCGGCATATATTGCTCAGTGCTGTTCTATATTACCGGTTAAATTACTGAAGCAGAAAAATTTGTAACATCAAATGAAAAGATTTAAATTTGAAAAATTATCGACATTAAACTGAACAATTAAGAGAGTAAAATTAAGGATCGCAGCATTAAAAAATATGGAAAAGATAAAATGAGCAAATTACTGAAATGTAATTGATTCAAGCAAAACATTAATGAGATAATAAATAAGTAAGTTAATAGGCAGAAAATTGTCTAAATAGATTAAAAAATTAAAATAATACGAATAATATTGAAATTTGCTACAAATTTTTAATATTGAATTGGATATTGTCATAAATTTGAACTTAGTAATCAGCTGACCTTTTAATTGATGTCGGATTTGTTTTGAGCATTTTTAGGGCGAAAAAAAGTTGCAAAGTGGATAGAAGAAAGGTGGAAATAGATGTTGTCACAGCGATCAGTGATAGCGAGCTGGCTATTTCATGCATTGCATTCCGCATTATCAATGTACCATCGGAGGCTGAATCGGATGATTCCATCGTTCTCCATTGAATGGAAAGCAAACTTAGTAGTGACGTGAATGTAAAAAGGATTGATACGATGGACATTAGCGCCAATACCAATAATGAAAATTTAACCTGCAAAAAAAACAAATAAAAATTTAATTGAAATAAAAAAATTGGATTAAAAAATAGAAATTCAAATTAATTTTTGAGTAACATTTAAATAAAGTTTCGCATGAAATTTTAAAAGAATTCGTATGTCTTAAACAAGTTTAAATGAAATATTATATTTTAAGAAATCTTTATGACACTCATAAAAACTATTTGACAAATTCTAAATGTGCATCACTGCTGACCTATATTTTAATCATTACAAATCAGATTTAAAAGAAATTTGATAAAAACATAAAGTTCTTTGCCGATCACTCACCACCGAGAAAATTTTCTTATGCCTTTGCTTACTTTTATGCTTTTTTTCTGGAAAAAAAAACAAGAAAAATATGATAAATTAAAAAATTTTATTTGCCCAAACTTTGCCAAATTAATTAGTAAAAATTATAAAATTGAAAATCATAACAGCGCAAATAACCAGCATACCCTGGAGACATTTATTCGAGCTTGAGCTTGTTGTTTATGAAAATTTGTATCCGCTTCTAACGGAGGCTTACGTTGCATTGAATGTATCCGACGACTGCAAGGTGATGGTGCAACCTGAAATTGACCTGATAGAATAAGCAAATAGAAAGCTGCAGGTAAAAAAGAAAAAGTCCCTATCATATTCGGTTAATATAAAAAAGTCAAAATCAAATTTTATTTAATTATAAAATATAAGAAAAAAAAATGAGCAATAATAATAACTGTGAGATTTTTAGACTATCTCTCTACCCATTTGCATAATTTTATTTCCAAAATTACAGTCAATAGAGGAAATTTTTTGAAATTTTACAGAAATAGAATTAAAAAGTGATAAAATATTATCTAATATTTGTTACAGTAATATATGTGAATATACTTAGCAAACATTAAAAGGATATCAAAAATTAGTCAGTTGGACTTTTATATGAAAATAAATAACGAGATAAAGAGTCAAATAAAAAGGGAAAATGAAAAAAAGTGTCATCGATATGTACAAATGACAAGTTCACCGAATGGTTACATGCACATCCTCTCACTCTGTCCCTCCCATTTTAATCCTAAATCATTTCGAAATGTAACAATCCGATAATGAAATGTAATATTTCATCTTTATTATTCTCAGATAATATTAATTATTGTTTATGTCTGTTGACATTAATAACATTTATTACTAAAATAATTTTATACTTTCAAATTATTTTATTTTACGATACAATTAATCTTTCATTAACCTTGTTCATACAATCATAAAAAATATTGAAAAATGTATTTATTTATTGTATGTGCATTACTGTCACTAATTGTTACAGTAATATTCGTTCAATTTTATAAATGCTAAAATATAGGTTTGCTGTATGTGGATTACTATCATTAATTGTTATAGTAACCATTGGCTTATTTTATTTTGATCATTTTATGAATATTAGTAAATATCAAAATGAATCATTGATAATATCAGTAAAATAGAGAAAAGGAGAAAGTATTCAAATAAATAGTAAAAATGATTACATCTCATATTATACAATATATTAACAATTAACAATTATCATTAATTTATCATAATATAAGTTACTAAAATCAATTTTGACTTTGAATTTTTTAATTACTATTTTAATCTCTGAAACATAACTTGCGTTTTTCCAATTTATCAGAAAAAAGATGTTAAAATAAAAGAAATAAATAAATAAGAATAAATGTCATATACTGTAAATGTAAGATTAATGTGTAAGTAAACTTTGGATCAATATGTGAGTACAGTAAACACTTACCGAATTACCGTTGTTAAGATGATTAAAATCGGAGAGGTAACTGGAACGAGATGGTGGTAATAGCGGTGTACGGTAAGGAGCAGATGAAATACTGGGTAAAACGCACATATCTCTCATATTATTAGTTCACTTATAATAAATACACAGACTGTAATATCATAAATATATAGATAGATTGAGATCTGAAAATAATTAACTAAAGAAGAATTAAAATTTTAAATATTAAATCAATAAATAAAATGTGATCTAAATTTTGTAGGAATTATAAATTTATGTTGTTATAAGATAATAGTATAGTAATAGTGATTTGATAAGTCATTAAAAAGTTAGCAAAAAATATTAAGTAGCTCAATCAAAGTTAATTAAAAGCAAATGATAATCACCATTTCAACAATATTCATAAATTAATAATAACAATAATCAATAATCGCAATCCATAATCGTAATAACCATCGCTCGAAAGGACGATATGAATTATAAAAAAAATGAATAAAAGGAAAAAAAATCAATTCATTTAATATTTTTTAAACTAAAACAATAACATATAATATTTTTTCAAGTATTTGTCTTATTAAAATAAATTTTCATAATTCAGCACTTACTGTTTTACTTCTTCCATCCGATACCAATGTTTCAGTATTTTAGATGAAGGTCCCTTATCTTGAATATTTCTAAACGCTAATGGAGAATCCTTTTCACTACTAAAAAACTGAAAAGGACCTTGTCAGTAAATGAACTCTTAAATTTTAATTCCCGAATATCAATTATCACTATACTCATACCCTACATCATTTTATAAATTAATTGTTGAATGATTTATTAAATAAATGATAGCATAAGGAATAATCGGAATCAGCTTTTAGTACCAATAAACTAATCGCATCATAACGAGCACATCTGTGGTAATTTTAAAATAATTCAATTAATCTTCAATTTATTCATTAAATGGTATTTGGGTCAGCCAATCTTTGCTAATTAATTTGCGATGATAAATTTACAATTTATCTGAAACTTATGCGCTTTCTAATCAAAAAGACATTTCTTATTTCAGATCACTATTTTGATTTGAATCATCGATTATATCACTGGTAAATAATTGTAATGGTACTTACCAGTAGATGATTAATTAATTATAATGATCGCATCATTTAAACATATAAAATCTATTAATCAAAAACACTCCAAAATAAAATCATCAAAATTCAATTAACATCAATACATTTTGTGTTCTTTCAAAAATTGAGGATTTCATTCTTTTTCTTCTCTTACATTCAACCAGACATTATCCCAATGCCATTTATTTTGATAAATTGCCAAACCGAATGGTAATTTTTTCAACAAATCTTCGTTAAAATGTCAAAGTTTCATGAAAACAAAAAAAATTCATAAATTTCAGTGACAAAATATAAACTATTTTCAAAAATTATCGTCCAAATAATTTGAATTCTCATTTAAAATTATGAAATTTATCATTGGAATGTCACAATTCTTGAGCTTGAGATTTGAAGAATTTGAAAAGGATTCGATTTTTATTGTAATTATAAATTTTTTAAGCTACAAATTTATCAAAATATAATAAAAGAAATTGTCTTTTATAAAATCTAATTTTATGGCAAAATTGAAATAACAGAAAAAGAAAGGTGAAGTGAATGATATACGAGAAGAAAAATTTATCAATCAGAATTTATAATTACAATAAAAAATCGAGTTTAAATTTCAATTCCTAACAAATTTTCATCCGTCAAATTATCTCATTACCAAATGTACCCCATTATCCTCTTTTTAATCATCGCGTCAAATAAATTTTACTTTTCAAAACAAAGTAATCAAAGAGGAAGAGGAAATGTGAAAATACATAAATACTAACTGTAATTGGAACTGATCGTTACATGAGTGAAATGATAATTGAGGAAGAACGGGAAGATTTATACCATCAAAAATGTAAAAAGAAAAAATTTTAATCTTGTGAAAGGTTGGAAAAAAATTCCAATTTGAAATAATAAAATTGCAACCTAAAATAATCAATTTGAAATAATTTGTACAGAGAAAAATTAAAGTCGAAATTAATTATTAACTAATAGGAGAATATTTTGACGGTACAATTAATATAAATAATGATAGATGTATTGAATGGATTGAAAGAAAATTAAAAAAAGTTAATTTTAAATCACTCATATGATTTTGTCCAGTCATAGAAATACAAAGATGGATCAATCTTATTTTATGTGAAACCTCGCTAAAACTATAATCGAATAATGATTATATGTTGAAATTAAATAATGACTGTATATTGTAAATTAAATAATGATTGCGCATGTTAAATTTAGTAATGATTATTAAAAGTAGTTCAGTTGTAGAAGTGTGAAAAATCGTAAAAAGCGATAAAATGAAAATTAGTTGTAAAATAGTGCGAAAAGATATTTGCTAACATTTAAAAATCTAAAAAAGAACCATCTGCAAACCATCAACGATGATTGCAAAATGATAAGGATTGGATGAAGAGGAATGTGATGAAGGATTCCCGCCTATTATACCAATCAGTCGGCATTATTTCTTTGATTTTTTTGAAATGTGAGAATAAAAAGGAGAAGGAAAAAT